CTAGGTGACAAGTTTTAAAGTTTTGGAAATGATAATTATAGTATCAATTCTTTTCAATCACGGGTGCCTAATAGATATTGCATCAACTTTCTAATGAAAATGAAGTTTTTTTTCATGGAAGAATACAATTCTTCAATCTTGCGGTAAAAACATAGATTACAAGCCTAAGGAATAAGCTAATTTGAACCTAAGCTAATTAGCCCCAGGAATGGGCTAATGACAAAACGTCTAATTTAAATTGTCAATAAAAAAGTGTTCATGATTTTGTTTATGTAAATGTTGATGCGTTAAAAATGCACATGCACTCTTTTGTCAATTTGAAATAAGTGACATTTTTTTTATTAACGACACAGTATCACAAAAAAAACATTTGACGTTAAATTAGCTAATCACAAGTTATTTTCAGTGTTAAAAAACTTTTTTACAAATTACCTGTTTCGGTAAAGTTCATCATCTGGTAGAGTCGATCGTCTCGTTTTTGAAGAAAGAAAATCAGCCACCACTGGCCGAGGATCAAAATTTGCGGTACCTATAGCATTTAAAGCAATGAATAATCGGTCATTCACAGTATTTCTCGACATAGATGATCGAAGGTCGCTTTTTAATTCTGTATGGCATGAAATTACCCGTTCAGTGATCATGCTGTGAGGACAAGTTATAAGAAATGTTTGAACCAGCTTGTTTAAAAGAGACGACGGTGTTGTTTTTTGTAGCAATAAGTACAACTTGGCAGTATTGCTTTCATGCGGCTTAAAAGATGAAACACCAATGATGAATAGTAACCAACAGCATCATCTACAAATTCTGAAACATAATTATCACCAAAAATATCTGATACAATTTGCCGACCGGCTTTGATCATTGCTTCAGCATTTTCAGCATTGGCAACATCTATAATTGCCTTTACTTGTAAATCCTGATCGACATCCAACCTTCTCTCAAGGAAGTTTTTTGCACATGTGATTACCTCAAGACGCACTGCTTCAAAATTTCTATTGTGTGTTGTAACATACAAGTTTTTCACATTTCTCTGAAATTGATTATCATTTGCTTCAGTTTACAATGACTGTGTAAATGCAAGTCCACTATTATTTTGTAACTTTTCGTCATATCCCCCAGGATATGGACTGTTTACCATCATAGAAAGACGCTGAAGTACGTGGTCGCGTTTTTGCCAAGGTAACAAACGTGCGTTGAGCTTCTTTTTGTAAATCGCAAGATATCCAAAGCAACAGCACTCATGTTTAAGTTGAATGAAGTTTGGGACCAATCCTTCAGAAAACCTCTTGCTCTTTGCTTTTCATTATTTTCACCTTGTTGTACAACTGTCTTCCAGTAAGCGCACATCATCTGATGATTAGACAGAACTGCAAGTATAACATTGGCAAGGTGTTCCGCAAAACGAACTTCATGATGCCGTGGAAAATGTTTAGCAGTCTCACCCAAACTTGCAGCAATTTCATGCAGGTTTTCTTGACGGTAGCTTGATTCACGAAAATAAGTAGCAACATTTTTTACATCTGTTAACCAATGACGAAACTCCGGAACCACGTTTTCAACGCTTTCAAAAGCCAGGTCAAATCTGTGAGCTATGCACTAAAATATCAACATGTTTTGCCCTAAATACTCAGACATCTTTACCCACAACCCTCCGTGACGTCCAGTATTTAAATTTTCCCCATCTGTCGTAAGACCCACCATCTTTGCTTTAATGACATCTTCAATTTCAAGATACTGGAAACGTTTCTGCAAAGCATCGACCATCCCAATTACTCCTCTTAACTCACTGTGGCATTCGCCAAGAAAACTATCTTTCATCTCAAAATTAGTGTTGTCCATGTATCGGGCAGTAAACAGACTGTCAGCATTGTATTTATCAACAGATTTCTCAATTTGCAGGGCGACACAGTCTGCGATTTTCAATGCTTGAATAACTCTGCTCAATTCATGCTTGGACACAAATGATAATATCTCTCTGTACCGGTCAGGATTTCTGTAATGCAATGCTGACTGTGGTGGATTAAACGCCACAAAGTCACGATCAAGACCGTGATCAATGTATTGCTTAACTTGGTTTTCTGCATGCATTTGTGCTAGTGAACGACTTGGCCAAGACCAAGCTGACAGCGTTTTGGTTACTGAATCATTGTGTACATCAACTGTAAGGTGAATAAGAGTTGATATCAGTTCAATATTGTGTTGTTTCAAAATTTTTACCCATGGATGTTTGTTAGATTGTGCGGTTCATAGCTTTCGTGCAAGATCGGCCCGTTGTGCAGCACTATGAGCACCACCTTTCAAGTGATCAATAATTCTTTGAAGCTGTTGCATGCCGTCACACCGAACACCATCAGCTATTGGGACAGTACCATTTCGAGCATACTTTTTAGCTTCAGAAATGTTATCGTAGCACAGTTTGCATTTTAGACTTTTACGAGAACCCAGTTTTATTGCTTTCAGTTCTGAATGGTGTTTCTGCAACCAAGCAGCATCAAGTTTGAAGCCTTTGTACCACTGTCCAAAAGGTGCAAAATCTTTGGAGATGATCTGATCAAAAGGTAACGAGAAAGTTAAAAAATCGCCAAAAATCCATTTATGTGTGCATCTGGAAAATATTTGCATCTTCTAATAGACAATTTCATTCCCAAAAATAACATATATAACAAAGCTATCTCCCGTTTTGTGCACATTCTCAAAAAATTTGATTGAACGCGTTAACCCTACATTTCCAAATTTGCGTCATCGATAACGAGAAAGTTAAAAAATCGCCAAAAATCCATTTATGTGTGCATCTGGAAAATATTTGCATATTCTAATAGACAATTTTATTCCCAAAAATACCATATATAACAAAACTATCTCCCGTTTCGTGCACATTCTCAAAAATTCGATTGAACGCGTTAACCATACTTTTCCAAATTTGCGTCATCGGTAACGAGAAAGTTAAAAAATCGCCAAAAATCCATTTATGTGTGCATCTGGAAAATATTTGCGTATTCTAATAGACAATTTTATTTCCAAAAATAACATATATAACAAAGCTATCTCCCGTTTCGTGCACATTTTCAAAAATTTGATTGAACGCGTTAACCCTACATTTCCAAATTTGCGTCATCGGTAACGAGAAAGTTAAAAAATCGCCAAAAATCCATTTATGTGTACATCTGGAAAATATTTGCATATTCCAATAGACAATTTTATTCCCAAAAATAACATATATAACAAAGCTATCTCCCGTATCGTGCACATCCCCAAATATTGGTCTGAACGCGTTACCCATACATTACTATATTTGCGTCAACGGTAACCTTGGTACACTTCTTCAACAGCACTACTTAATAGATGCACCGTGCAGTTGGTTTACATCATGTAACTAACCTCTTTTCTTTCTAAAGCATTGTAGTTACTTGTTATTATGCTCTGTAGGTTTTGTAAAGATTCATCGTTGCCTTGGAGACCATTTTCAGTTAACCCTAAAAAGCATTTATTCTTCCAGAATAAGTCAATCTGTGAATTTCAATTTTTTATTGATATCACTAGTTTTTTACATTTTCGATTGGTGAAATTATTTCTCTGTTTTAGGCTCCTGCAAGCTTGCCCAAACCAATAATACGTTATAATAATAAAAAAAACGTATAGCACCAAAAAAGTGCAAACCCAAGCGAATGAATAAATAAATATATATAAATATATTTACCAAGTATTACTTGCCCACGGATTATGATATCTATATATATGTGTGTGTGTGTGGTGTGTGCTGAAAATCATAATTTTATGTGTATGAATTGGTAATTGCACGCTACAGGTATCAATATTGCTAACAGATATAGTTATCGTAACATTTATTTTTGCGGCTTCGTACAATTTTTAGTTATAAAAACACCTTGAGTAACTCTTCTCTGCCTATACCTTTCGCTATTTCTTGTTCCAAATTAACAGTAAAAATTTGTCGATTACGCTGAGCTTTTAACAATGGACTTATGCCTCCATTTGACTAATTTTGATTTGACGCAGAATCATAAAAATAAAACTAAATTTTTTCAATTATTATCACATTCATAACATTGTACAAAATAACTGCCACATTAAAATAATCTGGATACCAAGTCACATAGGTATTCTTGTCAATGAAAAGGCCGATCAATTAGCTTTAACAGCCCACAATGAACCCATACTAAATACAGCAATGATTTACTCAGACATTAAATCAATAATAAATAAATATATATATATATTGGCAATATATTATGGCAATATATATACACAACTCACCAGCGCTTTCATTACAACAAAATAAACATTCATTTATCATGTTATCGGAATTAGTAATCACATCATCAAATATTTTTAATCTACATCTTATTGGATCAAATTCGTTTCCAATTGATTTGCTTTTATCTAACGTGACCATGTAGATGAAAATTCCACAGTTGTGGCCATCCATCTGCTTTGGCAGTTCATAATGCGCTTCAAAGTCGAAATTTTTCCATGATTGTTTGTTAATTCTTTGGGACATACGTTTAAATCTTTTTTCAAATTGTTTGATTTGCAAAATAGATGATCCAAGAGAGTTATAGAAAAATATTTTGTTTAAATTATTATTTACAGTTATTAAACAGTAATGATTGTTGTTGACGACGAGTGGGAAAAATATGTAAGATGGGGCTAGAACAAGTAAAATTTTTAAACATTACAGTAGTGGACA